TTATATAAAGTTTAAAAAAAATTAATTGTTAACATGAAACTGACAAGGATGTATGCATTATTTGTTGTTTTTTAATGAATTAAATTAAAATATATGTTAACGGTTACCATAATATTATATAGTCGTAATATATATATATATATATATATATATATAATATTGTAAAAAACATGGGACATTTATATAATTGTCGTTTTATTTATTAAATAGGTCTTTATTGAAATATATCTGAGACATCATATTATTGTGTTTTGATAGTAGATATGTAAAATGAATGCTTATTAATGAAAAATAATTAGCAATATGGTTTGTAATCATACAAATATGTTTAGACAATAATATTAATCTATGAGACAAATATGTTATGTAGTCGGAGAAAGATGTGTCATTAGTTTTTGGTTGTGGTTAACGGCAAAACTAGTAAGAGTGAGAATAATAAATATATTTTACCTTTTTATAATTCGATAAATTTGTATTTGAACAACTTGTGTGTCTTCGTGTTCTACGTATTTGAAATATTTAATTATAAAACTTTACCTAAAAGTACATATCCGACAATATGGGTATTGTAAACGAAAATGCACTTATTTTCACATGTTGAAATAATAAATAAATAAACACCTTTTCGTTCCGACAGCAGTGTACGGTGTAAATTTTAAGTACCAATAAATTAACTATTTACTACGAACGGAACGACGTTTTTCTGGGAGTGTTAAAATTATGTCATAATAATGGTCAAATAAAATAGACGTGAAAAATGTCTCCTTTTGGTACTACGTTCTTTGCGAAACGGCTTTTTCGAGGTATACCACCTACATAAATAAAATATTGATCACGTTTAGAAGCAGAAAACGATATGCCTCTTCAACTGACTTTTGTGCAGTGTTGAGCATTATTTATATAAATTATCTAAATAAATTTTCTAGATAAATAATTAATTATCTTTTGTCTTATCTAGATAATAAACAAAATTATTTATCCGATGAATTATCTTAGATGAATTTTTGAGTTATCTAACGTAATTCATCTAGATAAATAAATACAAGTGTATTTCTACAAAAAATTAGAAAAATTGAACTTGAAAGTTAAAAACTAAAATTAATTACTATTATTTTAAATTTGTGTTACTGCAATGTAAGTTTAGTTAAGAATTGCTCACATATTAAATAAAGACTAGGTATTCAATTTATACTTTCTAGAGATACAACAATTTTATTCCTAAGAAAGATAATTAAATAATACAGAAAATGATTGAATTAACTTTTTAATATTTTAACCATAAATATTACTACATAATAAGTTTTATATAAATTGTACTGAATTGTTTTATACAATTATAAAATACCTACAAAGAATGTATTTTTTTTTAAAACTAAGTACTTATTATTTATTACTTATTTCTCATACATATATGTACATAATATAAATATTTTTTATTCATTATTTTTATTTGAGGTACCTATTCGATCAAATTTAAGTTAATTTAAATTAAATTACATTTTTTAAGCATAAATTTATAAAAAAAAAAAAGTATAAATTAATTAATAAAATTAAAAACAATGTTATCTTGTTTTTATCTCATTAAATAGTGTTTTATCTTTTATCTGTATCTAGATACATTTTTATTTATCTTTTGCGCAACTCAATAGTAAAAAGCAGGCCCAGGTTGCTCACAATAAGACTCATACATCAAGACGTGTATGTATAACGTTGTATTATTTTTAAATACTCTCTTTTTATAGATTTAAATGATAAATAATATTTTTTACAGTTCTTTTAATACTATTGTTTCACCTTTATTTGTATATATTATTTTATTTTACTCCCGTACATATACTATTCTTGTTTATGCTACTTCATAGAAGATAGAACATAAGTAGATAAAAATTAACGTTAAATATTTTTTGAGGGCTCCACGAGAAATTTCTACTTAAAAAAAGACTCCGAGGTTGAGAATGTTTGGGAATCGTTGCTATATTCTATCGATGTACCACTTGCATTATTATATTTTTCTTATTTTAACGTCAACGGGTAAATCTGTTCGTAAACAATATCGACGAATCTACTGTTAATTTACTTGTGCCAGTTCATTGAAACTAATTTACGAATATTCGGTGTACTTATATTTTGTTTGTGTGATGTAATAAAAAACCTCCGAAGTACAATAATTTCATAAAAACATTTTAATCATTCCACGAACATTGAAGAACCGTATTGTGATTTCTATTCATTTTATCGACAGTTTAATATTAATAAATTACTATACCCATGTATCCTGTAGTTCTTTACTGGCACTCGTTCTCAAACGTGTCGTGTTCACATCTGGTGTTTCACAAGTGGTCATTTATCTCCTTTGTTGGAATACCTACCGGTTGCGATAAGTTAATGGCTTGAGTTGAGTTTTCAATCATCGGAGTTATTATACGTACACAAATAACTTTCAAATGTAATTTACAATGTGAACCATGTTTATGATTGCTTTGTAAATTGTCATTGGATTTATATCATCTTTAGAACGGTATCGTCATCAATGTGTAGGCACAGCAAAGAGGTGTGTTTGTTATACAATGTAAAAAAATGGCAGCAAAAAGCAGTCATATGTTTATACATAAACGGTACTCTGATTGTATAGGTTATAATATTGTTTTCCATTATTCTATTAACAGTATCAAATTGGAAATTGGATCCGTACTCAAGAGTCAAGGATAGTATCAGTACAACTATGCATTTACAGTCGTTAGGTCAAACTATAAATGGGAATCTAAAAAGGAAAAACCATTTATTTATTCATATATAATGAAATTAATTTTGGGCAAAATATATTTTCTTTCCGTCCGTCGTTTAAATCATAGGCCTCATTCTTAGATAATTTGCATACAAACGTGGTATAAATTTATTTAACACCATTCTCCAAGAGTTATACTCCGTCGAGAACAGAGCCACAATATATTCACCATATTATGTTAATCTAAAAAACTAAAAGTAATTCTAACATTTAAAAAAAATATGTTTTGCAAAGTCAATATAATATTAAATATGTTCATGTTCAATGAATATTATTAAATATTGGGTTTATGTTTTACTTTTTAAGAATACGTTAATTTAATTTTTGTTAAACATAAATAATATTATAATTATAATAATATATTTACAATAAACATATAATATGAAAATCGTGTATTTGAAATGAATATCTTAATTTTAATTCCAAATTAAACTATTTTAAGTTTATATGATATGAATAATATTTATATACATAACTGTAAACTTGCAATTCATGTAAGTATAGAAATCGGATTAGTAGTATAACTAAACATTAAAAATATATTATTTAAATATATGTATGAATACCTATTCATATTCAAATAATTTGGACAATGATTTATTATATAGAGCACAATTTTATTGATAAAAACAGTACAAGTAAAAATTATTAATAGTTTTGTATTCTCAAATTCTTAAAATGGCATAATTGAAAATCAATTCATTATGCGTTTTGATAATTTTATGAAAAAATTATCCCTCACCTCGATAAGAAATCATAAACAAATACTTAACATTTCCGGTTTATAGGTACTTGTTTCAATACTTAAAACTTTTAACAAAATATAAACTTGGATTAGTGAGATATATATATATATTTTTTTTTTTTTTTGCAACAACCGATTTTTGTTTTGAATAATTTATAGGTTAATAAATTTAATTTGTGAATAAAAATATAGTAAATAAATCAAATCGATGTTTTTTTATTTATACTAATGGAATCAGATGGATAGGTATTCAATAAATAAATATTTGAGAAAAATAAATAAAATTATATTTCATGACTGAAAATGAAATAATAATAACATTGTACGTCAATTTTCTAAGACTATCTACAGTTAATTTAAAAAAAAATTAGACCTATTTTTTTATGTATAACTTTCCATAAGATCTTCGTTCAGGTTTGTATTGTTTGAACGCAACAAATCGTTATCGTTAGAAGTTTAAAAAATTAAAATGACCAATACCGGGAACCAGTAACAATTTACAGCAATATTTTGTTGTATCTTATAGGACAGTTTTTGTGTGTAAGCAATGTAAAAACGCAATATAACGTTTAAAATTTACAACGTCATCTGTAAAATATTTGCGAATTCACTGATTTGTATAGGAATCATGGAATTTAATTTGATCTGAACTACAAAAATTCTCGGTACAAATTTTGCAGAAGTTTAAGTATTTATTCGTACATAAACTGTTAGCAAATGTTAATTATTAATAAATAAATAATAATTATTAATATAATTAGTAAATTATTGATGTTAATCATAATTTGTTGTACATTTAAATTTACATAACATTTACAACGTTATGGCAGAAGAGTGTTCCGTATAAACAAATCAAATCGGATATCCGTACGGAAGATCCCCACGAGTCATACGTCGTCAGTTTTTTGCATATTGTCGCGGTCGATTAACATTGCAACGCGTTCATTCTTATATTATTTATGTTTATTGTAAATTATATTATAATTTAAATATTATATAACTATTTAATATTAATTACATTTTTTGACAAGTCTCTTATAGTATAAATAGTGGTATTCTTGTTGTCATGGTATTTTTTTGTTCATGTTCTCATTTCGTGTAAATCTGTTTTTTTTTTTCATTCCAGTGTTAATAGTAATAAGTTGTAAATTCAATGTCATCGAATAAATAATGCACTTGTATTATTATACGGGTATGTACAGTTTCACACTGTACAAAAAAATCGAATGTACATTGAATTGTATACATAATTTATAGTTTAAAATGTTCTATATGCTATCTAGGCGCGTACATAGAAAAATATTTTGGTAATAAATTATGATGGTTTCAAAAGGTATAATAATTATAGTAATTTTTATTAAAAAATAAATAACAGTGAACAATTTCATTTGGTTATCTGTATAATATATTTTGTCATTGACACAAAAAATATTGATTTTTAAGTGTTTTTAAAAAACATAATTACTCATTTTCTTACGATTTCAGAGGAGGAGGGTTGGTGGTTGAACCCTAATCATCCACCGCCTGATGCCCCTCGTGTTAAAGCGTGGAACAAGGAATAGCGTCTTTTTGGCCGAGTTCGTCGTTTCTTTCGGTTGCGCTCCATATATTACAAGACGCAGCAATTAAAGCTATAAATTTAATAAAATGTATAAAACGGTAAACTTAACTTCACATTCACTCCAGCCGGCGGTACCAACTTATGGCCTTACGTACGAATATCAGAGTAGCCCGTCAGAGGCGAATTCGTGTTCTCGTTTCTCGTCGAAATAAAATAAAATATCCGCAGAAATAAAACGGTGAAGGGTCGGAAGAGTAATTTTTCGGAGTTCGCTAAGAGGATGGCGATATACGAGTGGAATGATGATCAGCGGGAAAAATCCACTGCAGGCACAAAGCATGCGTAATATGTGATACGTGGATCATGTTGACGTTCGTCAACGTAGGCAATGATAGTTAAAATAATAATAATCATAATAAGATCATGTTTTTCTTGCGGTGTCCGCACGTTACGGATGATGCATTTGCGAAGACGGACACGGTCAGTGACGTCACGAGTGCGTAATTGTTGCAACGGCTGCGAAGGGACGACGGAGCCGTTACGACGATAAATCATAAAAGATAATGAATAAGCAAAGATGAGAAAATCGTTTTCTATTTATTTCTCTATCCTGCACGCGCGCACTGTGTTCACTGCTGTGACCGTAAACGCGCGACACCCGTCGCAGTCGGCCGGTCGCCCACGCGAACAACCATAATCATATTATAAATGGCATACCTGTATCATAACAAAATCAGACCGTCGCGACCCGTACTTAGACTTGTGCACACACCGCACTCGCCGCATTACGTTATGTTTTGCACTTGACGGACGCACCGACGCATGCCTACATACGTATCACATTATATTATGTAAAACTATATTGTACTTGCGCTTGTTACCGTCGATTTAAATACGTTTGTTGCCGGATCGATAAACACGTCGCTTCGCGTACCGTCATCGTTATTACTATTAAATCGCGTCGAATTGAATTCCGTAGACCCGTAACCGCGCACATAGGTACGCATTATGACATTACGTTATTACATTTGAACGTAATGTAAATGTATTACATTTTATGCACGAGTTCCGTGCGTCTACGGACAAAGTCGAGGAATTTCAAAACACGGGTGTTAATGTGTACCACCTCATAGTGTACTGATACAGATTTACATTCACCTGAGTAAATCAGTTTTTCGTGCACACTGATCATGACAGTTGACCGCATTGTAAATATAAACAACTTTATTGGATTAAACGGACTGTTCACCATGCGAGTCGCCAATGGAGATGGTTTACTGTTCAGTGTACAATGTGTGTAATTTTAATATATAGTATGTAGTGTTGATGTGTTCCTACGTTTTTTACAGTTCAGTGTCCTTTTTATGCATGCTCCTGGACCAATATTTTTTTTTTTACTAGATTTCAAGTAGTTTTCGGTACATATTTTTTGCCATAGAGCCTTTTTCAATTTTTAAGTAGCAACACACATACATTAATCTATGGAAAATATTCTAAAACAGAAATTTAATAGATCAACCTTTAAAATTTAAGCACTTATTCAGAGTTTTTTTTTTATAATTAGAAAAATGCATGACATTAAAATATAAACCAAAATACAATCGATATTTATTTAGTTTAAAAGATAAAATAAACATTTATTTCGATACGAAATAGAGAAAAATACAATTATTTACATACTTAAGTAACTAAGGTTTCAAGATATGTAAAAATCTTTGAAAAGCACACGAACCTTTCAAGGTATTCAAAAATCAGATCATAACTATAGAGAACTTTTTATGCCGATTGCTATGTGGTATATTTTCGGTACAATTTATCAATGTAGTATTTATATTTTCTATTCAAAAATATCAAATTTCCTTTCATAGTGTATTTTTGCGCATTATTTACGCACATTTTTCGAATATTAAATGCTTCTATGACATCACATACACACAATAACTTTGTTTATTATTAACTTGTGGTAGATAAACTTACAGTCTTTTGTACGATGAACAATTAATCGTCAATATTATCGTTTACTCGTAGAGACAAATTAATATCGCAATCATTATTATTAATGTAAATTCAATTTTCAAAAACTTCAGTTATAAAAATGCGAAAAGAAACTAGTTTTGGCTAAGGTCCTTTGCTGAATAGAAAGTCTTGTTAAATAAAAAATATTTCGAAGATAAATAAATTGTAGTTTATTTATAACAATTTTAAATATGTATTGTATTTTACATGGATGTAATATTAATACATACTACTATATCTCATTGTTACTAAAATAAATCACTTGGGAAATAAAATAAATAACATTTAAAAAGTCCAAATTACTTGAAAACCAAAAGGAAAATTATGATGTATGTGAAAAAATTAAGTTATACCGTGTTTGAAAAAACTGAAATTTTATAGCCGAAAAAAATAATGTGTTGAACCAAACCTTTTGAATTTATTTATTAAGTAAATAACAATTTATCCATAATAAAACTGTTGAATTTTTCAAATAATATTTATATATTATATAAACGCTACAGGTAAACGGAATTTCATTATGCTTATTGATTTTTTATTTTAGTTGTTTCTTCGCCAGAGGCGGATCGAGGAATTCAAGTAAGATCTGTAAATGAGGCCTCGTATAAAATGTATATCAGTAACATACTCCCCTTTTATGTAGGACCTTCACATCCAAATGAATACTGATAATCTGTAAAAAAAACGGATTTTCCAATATGTTATTTGTATCCATTTTAAGATTTTATGAGATTCTCCATACCGGACATTTAGTGCGAGTTTACCGAAATAAAACACGGAGAATACTGGAATAAATGAAGCTTAACAATGTAAAAACGACGATGACGTATTCTCACTATTTGCTAACGAAATCAAAAACGTTGTAAACAATATTTTTTATTTCACCCGAGTCGACACGGCACGTGCGACTTTCTCAATGGTTTCAAAATGTGTTAATTATTCTATTTACACATTTACACGCATGGTTTAGAAAATATTTAAGCATTTATAATTTTCCGTGCGTGATAATACGACCATATGGGTTTATCTAACGTGGCGGTGTAAGCGTATTGCGTTCATCTGGGACCTACAGTTTACCGTTTCATCCGTATCACATATAAAGACATACGACAGGAGCATGCGAGCTTAACATGAACAGAACGCGGGTGACGACGACGAACGAAGGCGTTAAAAATATAACATATATAATGTACAGCGTCTTCTAAGAAAACGGGAAGATTTGAAATAATCGTCGCAAAAGTAAAATAAATGTATTTGAATGATTATTTTAACTGAAAACAGAATTTACATTATATGCATCAAATATGTCAATATGTTAAAAGTTCAATGATCAAGAATAGCGTGTTTTAAAATGAATGTCCGCACGAGATGGTGTTAATTTTGTACGTCTACATTCCTAAGATTGAACGCTAACGTGAATACGTATAGTTCATTCCAAGGCTGCGTACGAATTGATTCTCAGGTACGTATTTACTCGCATCGTTACCGTTAAATTGATTCGGCGGCTATTGAAAGGTGCTTACGAGTTTATTCCCTCATTGTTGTACATCCGTAACTCAACTTTATACCATTCATGGATCAAAAGATGACGTATACGTACCACTTGTATTTTTCTTTCTACCCAAAAAACAAAATACCACTTACGGTCTAGCGTTCAAATATTTGGTCGATCTCTGTAATTTGCTTGCATGGAATGACACTGACGCCTATTCAAGAATTCATAGATTTTGAGATTGACATTCATACGGCATTAGAGAGTGTGTAGCAAACACCACAAATTCGAAGGATCAGATTTCATCTAGCCCGAAATCGATAGCGGAGAATACAGAATCTCGGGTCTTTTGGTGATTTACAAACATACTAGTTCAGTTAACAAGACTGATCATTTTTTGAGTTTCTTGTGTAACGCTAATAGGCTGAAGTGTTCACTCAACACATTACCATATATATTTATCTTGTGACTGATAATCAACAATGGAGAAATTGACTTGTAGATACCTCTTAATAGGCTGGGAATTAACAAGTACATAAAGTAAGTCTCGGGAATCAACTCAGCAACAGCGCTATCTACACCTCTGAAATCCAAATTGTGTCATCAGACCATTATTTTAATTTCAAGAACGTACACCGTAAACCAATAGTGACACAGTTTTATGAATTAATAATAAAAGCGCATGCTATTTTTGGCGGTTTATAATAATAGAAATCATTTTAATACTAATAAACACGTATAATTTAGATTAGGTTTTCAATGAAAAAATAAAATAATAATAATAATAAATATGTAAATACATTAATTTTAACTTTTGAGAGAGCTATTTCGGATCTTCTCTTTTCACCAGAAGATTCTGTGTACAATATTGTGTTTCGCGTTAAAATAATATAGTTTCGTCGTTCGCGGAGTCAAAAATGCGTTGATCCGGCACGTACTTGCGATCGCGGTCACAACGACGGAGGCGAAGGCAAATCGCGTGACATCACCGTTCCGTCGCGAGTAATGGGAAATCCTCGTCTGCATCTCGTGTACATGCGTGGTACGAGTTAAACGGTAACAATAGCCACGCGAATCGAATCGACATATTATTATTATTATGTTATTACATTATGTTCTTAAAAGATGATTTTTGTGCGTATATCATTCGGCCGCGTGCTCGATTGAAAAAAAAAAAAAAATGATAATAATCGCTGTCGCGTACCGCGTACGTGCTCCGCGAATCGAACAATAAAAATGAAAAATAAATTTTTCGTATTTTTTGCATTGCTTACCGTCGCAACTCGGAGTGGAATGAAAAAAAATAAATAAATCGTATATGACCTCCGCGGCGATGGCGGCGGCCAGAGCCAAACGAACCAAATATACAAAATTATTCTATGATTATGTTGTATAAAAAATAGAATCTAATTACACCTAATATTGCATAACATTTTTGTATTGAATCATTTTTACGTGAAACGCTTGTGTTTTCGATCTGTTACTGTGTTTACAAATATTTGTATACTTTCTTCAAAACATGGTCGTTTGTATGAAAAGAATTTTTATTTTGTTTTGTATATAAATATAATAAATGTAACCGTTATTATTTTATGGATGATTTAAAATCTAAAAATCTACTACTCTTGAATACGCCTACTTTTTAAGTTGAAAAAAAATTTGCAATTTTTTTAAGTTTTATGGTTAACAGCAATTCAACGTTTTTTTTGCAAATCACACGTATTAAATATTTCCTATGCACAAACATTGAACATCGAAAATAAGTGTTTTAAGTTAATATGGTGAAATATACATCGTCCGGGATTAATACTGAAAATGTTGATGCTCTAGATTATAATTTATAATTAATATTTATTTAAAATATTTAATATAAAAATAATAATAAATAATATTTAAAATATATTTTAGGCAATGTATTCATAATAATATTATGAATACATTGCCTAAAATATTCTGTGAAGTAATATAATTGTTAACAAAATATCACTCAGTATATTATAATATATATTATTTGCTGTGTATAGTCGAATGATCGTAACCATACCGAGTAGTTGTCGGTTTACTTAAATGCATTAATCGCCCGAGTAGAAAAAAAGTCTGTTAAATTTAATCGAGCCATTCGTTATGATAATATTCGATAAGCAGTAAATCGTGGGAGTTTTAATAGTCTTGATTAACATACATAAATGTTTAGTATCATTCTAACCCCTACTCAAACTGATCGTTATATTTCTTTTTTTCGTACTTTGTAGTTTGCACGTCTTATAAAGACATAAAGTAAATATCTATTAGTTATAATCCAATTATATAGTCTATGGTTTTTGGTCGAACGTGTGGTTATATTATGGTAAAATATTGCTTTATAGGAATCTATCGTTTCCATTACAAGTATTGAAGAATATATACGTATAATGTATCTGACATTCTTTTATACGTAATTAATAATTTGGTTTATAGAAAACGCATAAATAATCGATAACTATTATGAATATGAGGTGTATAATATTATACTATTTATGTATAATATTTGTTTGTGATAAAATAGATTATGCAAAATAAAATAAAAAAAGTATAATTTTAGTTTTTATATTATTCAGCTCCTTTATAA